GTACAATATATCCTTGTAGCTTATTTATTTTATACATAGTAGTTTTTATTTCTTTTTAAAATTTTATCTATCTATTTTTGGCTGTGCTGGGTCTCTGTTGCTGCGCGGGCCTTTCTCTGGTTGCAGCAAGCGGGGGCTGCTCTTTAGTTGTGCTGCATTGGTTTCTCACTGCAGTGGCTTCTGCAGCACTGGTTCTGGGGTGCGTGGGCTCAGTAGTTGCGGCTCCCCGGCTCTAGAGAGCACGCTCAGTAGTTGTGGCACAAGGGCTTAGTTGCTCCACGGCATATGAGATTTCCCAGGTTAGGGATTAAAACCATGTCTCCAACATGAGCAGGTGGATGTTTCACCAATGAGCCACCAAGGTAGCCCTCCAGAAATTTTAAATGGTTGTTATTCAAAAATAATTTGCACTAGTTTCACTAGAGATTGGGTCCACTGAGCTCCTCACAGTGTCATATCAGGAGAGGAACTCCCCTCCTACATTTTCCATCCCATCTTCTTTGGTTCCTTCTTTTTGTGCACAAAAGTACTCATTCTATTTCTTTCCCCTTCAATAGATATTTATGGCCCATCAGAAAGTGTTAAGTTTCCATCAGGAATCATAGTTTCCATCAAGGATCATACCCCAACAAACTATTTACTCAATTAAAAAAAAAAGATTTTCTGATTGGATACGAAGAACTGAGGACTCTTTTTCTCCTTTTCTTCCCAAGATGCTATTAAAATGATTATAAAAGAACAAGGAAGGACCCATACTGAAAAGGGCTGGAGACTATCTGAAGTGAATGGAAAATTCTGACATCTTTTAGATGGAAAGAAGATGGGGGGTTGAATGATGAAGTGGGGTAAAGGAAGCTGCACACTTGGAAAGGTGAGAAGCTTATATTGTGGATGAGCTGATCCTTCTTTCAGATCCTTAGATAGGGTCATGCATTCCAGGTACAAAGTATGATGAAAGAGAACTGAGAGTAGGGTTAAAAATAGATATTAATTTAAATATTGTGTTCAAAATGGTTGATTTTTTTCTACTCCCATTCACAGAATACCCAGCACCCAGGTGTTCACTTCCTAAAGACAAAAACCCCAGCGATTTTTGTCCCAAAATGGGACAAAATGAAAAACTACTTCTCTATCCAAAAGGGAAAACTGTCTGGAAAGTACTTGAGAAAGTGAAGGTGTTGTTGCCCCAGAGTAAATTTCTGTATTAAGGTATTTCTATTTGAGGTGTGCATGTGTGCTAAGTCAGTTCAGTCGTGTCCAACTCTTTGCAACTCCATGGACTGTAGCCCACCAGCTCCTCTGTCCATGGGCTTCTCCAGGCAAGAATACTAGAGTGGGTTGCCATTTCCTTCTCTATTTGAGGCAGAGACTGCTAATTGCTCTCCAATATCCACTGTCCTCTTTGGGAGGGAACATACCTGCATGGAAAATACCAAATGCCGTGGAGTGAGATAGTGGAGCAGACAGAACCATCATGCACTGATGGTGGGAATATAAATTGGTACAACTACTTTAGAAAACTATTTGACAGTATTTATTAAGAATGAACATATACATACCCCATGACCCAGCAATTCCACTCCTAATTATATAGCCAATAGATGTATGTATATATGTTTGCTAAAATTCTCTAGAATGTTCACAGCAGTACTATTCACAATATCCCCAAACTGGAAACTATCCAAATGCCAGTCAACAATGAAAGAGAAATGTTAGTTGTAGGATATTTGCACAAAAGACTTTGCAATAAAAAAATAAACAAATGAGACCTAATCAAACATAAAAGCTTATGCACAGTAAAGGAAACCATCAACAAAACGAAGAGACAACCTACTGACTGGGAGAAAATATTTGCAAAGGCTGCAACCAACAAGGGGCTAATTTCCAAAATATACAAACAGCTCATACAACTCAGCATCAAAACAATTCAAACAATCCAATAAAAAATGGGTATAAGACTGAAATAAAATATTTCTTCAAAAAAGACATACAGATGACCAAGAAGCACACAAAAAGATATTTAACATCACTAATTATTAGAGAAATGCAAATCAAAACCATAATGAGGTATCATCTTACATTGCTCAGAATGGCCATTATCAAAAAGTCCATAAACAGTAAATGCTGGAGAAGCTGTGGAGAAAAGGGAACCCTCCCACACTCTTGGTGGGAATGTAAATTAGTGCAGCCACTATGGAAAACAGTAGGGAGAATCCTTAAAAAACTAAAAATAGAGCTACCGTGTGATCCGGCAATCCCACTCTTGGGCTTATGTCTGGAAAAGATGAAAACTTTAATTGAAAAAGATATGTGTACCTATTTATAATAGCCAAGACATGGAAACAACCTAAGTGCAAATGAATGAATAAAGAAAACGTGGTATATACAGAACAGAATATTACTTGGCCATAAGAAGAATGAAATATTGCTATACACACTACTGTATATAAAACAGACAAACAATAGAACCTACTGTACAGCACAGGGAAATATTTTCAGTATTTTGTAATGACCTATAAGGGAAAAAAATCTGAAAAAGAATATATATGTATACACTGAATCACTGTGCTGTATATCTAAAACTAGCATGACATGGTAAATCAACTACTTCCATAAAAAATCAAATAAAAAGTGGCAACTAACTTGGGTGTGGTTTATGTAAGAAAGACTTAAAGAATCTCTTATTTTGGACCTACTTTGAAAACTCCCTGCCCTATATAAAAACATTGACCAGTAGCTAGCTATGAAAGTGAAAGTTGCTTAGTCATGCCTGACTCTTTGTGACCCCAAGGACTGTATAGTCTCCAGAACAGAATACTGGAGTGAGTAGCCTTTCCCTTCATGGTATCTTCCCAACCCAGGGATTGAACCCATGTCTCCCACATTGTGGGCAGATTCTTTACCAGCTGAGCCACAAGGGAAGCCCAAGAATACTGGAGTGGGTGGCTCATCCCTTCTCCAGGGGATCTTCCCGACCCAGGAATCAAACCGGGGTCTTCTGCATTGCAGGCAGTTTCCTTACAAACTGAGCTATGAGGGAAGCTCACCAGTAGTTATACATTTATGACTTCATTTTTAAAAGTTTACATATGTCTGTATGCTTTTTGATTCTCACTTGATCCAACTATTCTGATTAACTATTGCAGCAGAGGAGATGGAAGCAGGGTTTAAGCAAAAAGTGGATTCAAAACCTTTTTGTTCACAGTGGAACAGGATGTCCAGGGAAGAGGTAAATGGACTGGAGAGATGGAGTGCCTTAGATGGGTGGATAGAAATGAACATCCAAAGAAGGAATCTGGAAGGGATTTGTACCTGGGACAGCGGTGGTCCCTAAAGAGGCTTCGGAGAGCAAAGATTAGGAGGTGCGGGGCGGGGGTGGAAAACTGGCTGCAAAGAGAATGTATTGACCGGGTACATTACAGGTGCTCCATCTACAGTGCTGGCCCCAAGGAGCCCAATTCAGGGGAAGTCCAATGGAAGCTTCAGGACTAGACTTGAAGGGGAATTCCAAACTCTCTCCTCTTGGCTGAGGAGTCTGGATAACAAACTCCTCTGTTTCACCTGTCTGGCATTATCTCATCCTCATCCTCGAAAAACTGCCAAGATGGTTAACTCACTCTTCACTGAAAACACCCCCACACTTCAAATGATCCCACCTCCCTTATCTCTCTTGCCTGTTGATCTTATTTATTCACCAAAATTGGGTGGGCATGCCAGGCAAACAGTGATGACACTGTTTAGCTGTCATCATCTGCAGGCTTGGTGTGTGTGTTCAACTCCTAGCAGGCAGTAGAATTAGCATCAGGGAGTGCTTGCCAAATGCATAAGGGTGGGTGAGTTTTGTTCTCTTTTGCTCACCTGCCTGAGCTTCTGTGAGAAACCCTGCGGGCAAAGAGCAGCCGATACTTCAGGGACCTGCGCATCTGAGGGCAAGACGAACCAGTGGGTGTTAAGTGGGGACCCTGAAACCAGACACACAGAGACACTGGTCTGGGTGTGGTTTCCTCGGGGGGCTGGGCCTCAGATCCCAATATATGGCTTATTTTCCTTCAGGTCCCCCACCCCAGGTCCAAGTCCGGGCAAGATGGGCAAATACAGGATTCGCGTCGCCACCGGAGACTCGCTCTTGGCGGGCTCCAGCAACCTGGTGCAGCTGTGGCTGGTGGGCGAGCACGGGGAGAAGGACCTGGGGAAGATACTGCGGCCGATACGGATCAGGGTTAGTGGAGAAGATGGGGACAGCGGCGGTGGCGGAGGGGCGCACATGGCGGGGGCGGGTGGGGGGCCGGGCCTCGGCAGCGAGGGACCCCTGGGCATCTGGGGAAGGAGGTCGGGCACGGGTGGGGTGCCAGGTAGCAAAAGAGAAGGCGAGAGGTCTGGGAGAGAAGCGCTGCCCGTCCTTGCCCGGGTGGAGGGGCAGAGAAAAGGAGACGTCTGCCGGCCTGAGTCCCCCTCGGAGTGGCTTGTTCTTCCTCGCCTCCAACCCGGATTCATGTCTCTTCCGGGGAGCGGTCGGAGGGGAAAGAGAGGCCCGGCTTCTCGGAGGGTTCTCTGACGGGCCCTCTCCGAGAGCCCTGCACCCCGCGTCTGAGCGCGGCCCTGTGACGCAGGAGGTGCAGCTCGAGGTCGAAGTCTCCCTATATCTGGGGCGCCTCCTGCTGGTGAAGCTGCGCAAGCACAAAGGCCTGGTGGGTTTCGACTGGTTCTGCAAGTGGATCGCGGTCCAGGGTCCCGGCACCCAAGGCGAGGCCTTTTTCCCCTGCTACCGCTGGGTGCAGGGCAACGAGATCATCTGCTTGCCCGAGGGCACCGGTGAGGGCAGTGGGAAAACAGGGGGCGGCACCTGGTGGGCTGCATGCTCTGATGTAAGAGGGAAAGGAGAGAGAGATGGAGGGAAAGGGAGAAGGGAAAGGATGGGGCTGAGCATCTCGGTTGTGGAAGGGGTCCGAGCACGAAGCTATGTTAACCGAGACCCTGTGCTATTGCGACCCTTTCCCCAGCCCGGACCGTGAGGGATGATCCCCAGAACCAGTTTAAGAAACATCGGGAGCAAGAGCTTGAGGAAAGAAGGAAGGTGTACCGGTGAGCCCCAGGAAGCCTTTGATCCCTAACAGATCCCAAGAAACCCACCACCCTACTTACACTGATTCCGTCTTCTTCCTTCAGATGGGGTTTCTGGAAAGAGGGATTAATCCTGCCTATAGTAGGGAATACGCAATGGGATCTTCCCAGAAACGAGAGATTTCGTGAAGATAAGGATTTAGACTTCAGTCTCTCTCTAGCAAAAGTGTGAGTGCCAGGTTGTTGCTCTTCAGTTGCTAAGTCATGTCCAACTCTTTGTAACCCCATGGACTGTATGTAGCACATGAGGCATCGCTGTCCTTCATTAACCCCCTGAGTCTGCTCAAACTTTTGTCTATTGAGTCAATGATGCCATCCAACCATCTCATCTTCTGTCACCCTCTTCCCGACCTGCCCCCAATCCTTCCCAGCATCAGGGTCTTTTCCAATCAGTCAGCTCTTTGCATCAGGTGGCCAAAGTACTGGAGCTTCAGCTTCAGCATCAGTCCTTCCAATGAATATTCAGGGTTGATTTCCTTTAAGACTGACTAGTTTAATCTCCTTGATGTCCAAGGGACCCCGAGTCTTCCCCAGCACCACAATTCGAGAGTATCAGTTCTTTGGCACTCAGCCTTCTTTATGGTCCAACTCTTGAGTGCCAGGTTAAGGCTGACATCTTCATCCCCAGATGCAAGGTGGGATTCTTTCCTGAACTTCTTGCACTGGCCTTCTCTCCACAGGTTGAAGGACTTGGCCTTAAAGGGGACATTAGATCTCACAAATTCTGTAAGAAGACTGGAAGACTTCAATAAAGTATTCCCGCGAGGAAAAACTCCTCTGGCTGGTCAGTTACCTTAACCTCCCCAGACCTACCCACATATTTCTACGTCAGGGATCTGAAAGGAGAGGGGAGAGGGTCGGAGAGTAATAGGGCAGTGACATCAGGAGCTCGGAGCTTACAGCATCCTCCCACCTGATGTCCCTAGAGCAGGTTCGCAATTCCTGGAAGGATGATGCCCTATTTGGGTACCAGTTCCTCAATGGGGCAAACCCCATGCTCCTGAGACGCTCCAGGAGTCTCCCGTCACGGTTGGTGCTGCCTCCGGAAATGGAAGACTTGAAGACACAGCTGGAGAAAGAACTCCAGGTGCTGCACTTCATCTGTTCACCCACCACCCCAGCTATCATTCCGGTCTCCTTCTCTTGGCCTCATTCTTCTCTTCCCCCTTCCCTCATTTCCTCCATCAGCACCTGTTTAAGCTACACCCTCCTCCATCTATACTTCAGGGTTTCTCAACTTTGGCACTGATATTTTTGGGTCAGATAACTCCCTGTTGTGGGAGGTGTCTGTGCATTGTAGAATGCTTAGTGGCATCTCTGGCACAACCCTCTAGCTGCCAGGAGCACCCCCCAGCAGTCCTCAGACACTGCCGAACTGCTGCTGGGGGCAACATCTTGGGGTGAGAACCACTGATCTGCACCAACTCCTGCTATTACTCCTCTTCCATCTCCGCTTGCATCTCTTCTTTCTTCGTTAGCTAAGTTCTCAGCCTTAGGGAAGAGCCCAAGCTTTTGGAGGGAAATAGCAAGACAGACTAAACAAAGCCCTGGAGACAGTTGGGGCTATGTTTTTTGGGGGGTAGGGGGATTCAGATCACAGAAATGTACCACATTTGGCTAAAGCCCAAAGGAGGGTGATAAGGGAAGAGTTTTGTGTGGGGGAAGGGGGTACAAGGAAAACCGCAAAGTTCACATCAGAGAGCTCCAACTCTGAGGAAAGATACTAGACATGGAAACTCTGCATTTAGGGCTTTGGTTATGGGAGCAGTGATTGGCATTTAAGTAAAAGACTTGATGGATAGGGAAAGGAATCAGCCTGACCAATAAGAGAAGAGCAGGTCAGGTCCAGAACTAACGTCAACCCCTTTATCTATCCCTGCTCCCCACCCCCTAGACTGGATCTCTGTTTGAAGCTGACTTCTCCCTGCTGGATGGGATCAAGCCTAATGTCATCATTTTTAAGCAACAGTATGTAGCAGCCCCTCTAGTCATGCTGAAGCTCCAGCCTGATGGAAGACTCTTACCTATGGTCATCCAGGTGAGAGGACCCAGGTGTCCTGCCCCCAGTCATTGATCTTCCTTAGGAACTTGGACACCCAGGTCCTTAGCCCCCAACTCTCTCTCCTGCTCTAGCTCCAGCCACCTCGGAATGGATGCCCCCCACCTGTGTTGTTCCTGCCTTCGGATCCACCCATGGCCTGGCTCCTTGCCAAGATCTGGGTCCGGAGCTCTGATTTCCAGCTGCACCAGCTACAGTCACACCTGCTGAGGGGCCACCTGATAGCTGAGGTTATTTCTGTGGCCACCATGAGGAGCCTGCCCAGCCTGCATCCTATCTACAAGGTATTTCGTGTGTGCGTGCTAAGTCGCTTCAGTTGTGTCCAACTCTGTGAGATGCTATGGACTGTAGCCTTCCAGGCTCCTCTGTCCAGGGGATTCTCCAGGCAAGAATACTGGAGTGGGCTGCCATTTCCTCCTCCAGGGGATCTTCCCGACCCAGGGATAGAACCCGTGTCTTTTATACCTCCTGCGTTGGCAGGTAGGTTCTTTACCACTAGCGCCACCTTTCAGCATCTCTTAATTCTGCATCTCACTGCCCTTCAGATTTCACACTGCCAGACTCTGGAGATGTTTACACATGATCTTGTGGCATGTTAGGTTAGTAGCAATCTCAGTTTACACATACACACATATACACAGTGCTATGGAAATGCCTAGGGTTAAAGAAAGAGTGAGAATGGGTTTTACAAAGAAATTGAAATTTGGGCTGAGAATGTTGTCAGTTGGATAGTAAGGGGTGGGACATTCCAGTCAGAGAGATCTGTAGAGGTACATGGATGATGACTGATATCAGGTGTGACTGGAGAGTAGGGTGTGAGTGATCGAAGTGCTGGGTAGGAGGAAAGGGAGGTGGGAGAAGATGAGGGGGATAGCCCTGTTACTTCATGGGGAGAAGAATTAAGAGCTCTGCTTGAAATGTCAGGAAAGGGAATTCCCTGGTGGCCTAGTGGTTAGGATTTGAGCTTGTACTGCCAAGGCCCAAGTTCATTCCTTGGTCGGGGAACTGAAATCCCACAAGTCATGTGGTGTGGCAAAAAAAAAAAAAAAAAGTAAAGAAAAGAAAAAGAAAAAAATATACAATAAAAATTAAAAAAAAAAGAAAAAGTCAGGAAGGCAGTTAGATATATGAGCCTGGAGTTCTTGGGACAGGTCAGGATTAAAGGTATAGATTTCTTTCTTTTTTTCTTTTGTTAGGTAAGAAGTGGATATATTTTGAGAGAAACACACTCCACAGACAGAGTGTGGGCCATCTTAGAAGGCGAGTGTGGCTGAAGGTATAGATTTTAAAGTTATCAGAAAACAGACATATCTAAAGTCATTATGAAGACTAGATTAAGCTGTCTAGGGTTTGTAGCTACAGCAGAGAATTTGACCCAGATATAACTCTGGGGTGTCACAACCCTTATAAATTGAAAGGAGGGAATGAAGTAAGAAAAGGAGCAAGAGGAGAGCTATCTACTGAGGAAGGAGGGAAACACAAAGTGTGATACCAGGACAGCCGAAAGGAAAAAATGCTTCAAGAGAGAGGTGTGATTGTGTCAAATGCTGTTGAGAAGCAAACACAGTTACAAACAGAGAAGTGACATTTGGATTTGTCGATATGGAAGTCATTGGTTAATCCACTGGTTAGTCCTATCTCAGGGGAGTGGAGGTGGCAGAAGCCTGATCAGTGTGGGCTGAGCAGAAAAATATCATATGAGGAAGCAGAGACAATACTAGGTGGCTCCTTTAAGACTTGCTATGAGAAACAGACTTACAGACTGACAGAACGACCTTATGGTTACCGGGGCAGGGGAGGGGGGAGGGACTAGTTAGGGAGTTTGGGATTGACATGCACACACTGCTATATTAAAGATGTCCATTGGCAGATGAATGGATAAGGAAGTTGTGGTACATATACACAATGGAATATTACTTGGCTATAAAAAAAGAACACATTTGAGTCAGTTCTAATGAAGTGGATGAAACTGAAGCCTATTATACAGAGTGAAGTAAGTCAGAAAGAGAAACACCAATACAGTATATTATTAATGCATATATATGGAATTTAGAAAGATGGTAATGACGACCCTATATGCAAGACAGCAAAAGAGACACAGATGTAAAGAACAGACTTTTGGACTATGTGGGAGAAGGCGAGGGTGGGACGATTTGAGAAAATAGCATCGAAACATGTATATTACCATATGTAAAACAGATGACCAGTGCAAGTTCAATGCATGAAGCAGGGCACTCGAAGCTGGTGCTGTGGGACAACCCAGAGGGATGGGGTGGAGGGAGGTAGGAGAGGGGTTCAGGATGGGGGGACACATGTACCCTGTTGCTGAATCATGTCAATGTATGGTAAAAAAACAATACTGTAAAATAATTAGCCTCCAATTAAAATAAATTAATTAATTTAAAACAAAACAAACATACAACAAAAAAAGATGGACAGTCAACAAGGACCTACTGTATAGCATAGGGAACTTTGTTCCTTATTATGTGACAACCTAAATGGGAAAAGAATTTGAAAAAGAATAGATACATGTATATGTACAACTTAGTCACTTTGCTTACACCTGAAACTAATACTTTATTGATCAACTATACTCCAATATGAAATAAAAAGTTTTTTAAAAAAGAAGACTTGCTATGAGAGGGGAAGCAAGCAATGAGGATGCTGCTAGAGAGTGGTTTAAGTTTAAGCCAAGGGTTTTTTTTCTTTAGAGTATCAAATACTAAGTGAGAGAGAGAGGACAGAGAGAGAACGAGCAGGAGTGACATCTCTAGGGAAGGCAAAGAGGATGTGAGGAGTTTGCGTTGGAAGGCAGTAGAGATACTTTACTGACAGGAATAAGACACAGGTATAAGACAGAATTTCACATGTAGGAAACTTTCTAGTTTTTGTGAGGAGAGACAAAGGACTCCTAAAATTCTTATATATTACATGAAACTGTGCAAACTGTGCAAATAAGTGCACTCCTAAAACCTTTGACCTTTGACCCAAGAAGACAGTTCCTCATCTTGCTTCTCCCAAATCTTAACCAGACCCAATACAATCCAACAGGCACTCTCTTCTTTTCATGAAGACCCATCCTCTCCCTTGTTTATTTCCTCTCTCTGGTCCTTTAATCTCCTTTCCACTCATGGCTCCTAGGACCCCTCTTATTTGACTGTGTCCCAATTCTTTCTTCCATAACCAGCTCCTGATTCCACACTTTCGCTACACCATGGAGATCAACGTGCTGGCCCGGAGTAATCTTGTCTCTGAATGGGGAATTTTTGATCTGGTATGGAGAGGGATGGGTAAAGAGGGAAGAGGGTACAAGGATGAAGGAATTCACTAGCCCATTCCTCCCTGAAGCTCTGTGTCCTCTACCAAAGGTCTCCTCCTGATCTGTGTCACACCTGAGTAGCTTCCTTCATAAAGGGGCCTGAGGAGGGCCACTGGGCTTGAATCTCCTGACCCTGACTGCCATTCCCCTCGGCTGACATGTGCTGTGTGCTTAGTCACTCAGTCGTGTCCTACTCTTTGCAACCCCATGGACTGTAGCCCTCTAGGTTCCTCTGTCCATGGAATTCTCCAGGCAAGAATACTGGAGTGGGTTGCCATGCTCTTCTCCAGGGGATCTTCCCAACCCAGGGATCGAACCCAGGTCTCCCACATTGCAGGCAGATTCTTTACCATCTGAGCCACCAGGGAAGCCCTCAGCTGACATGGCAAACACCAATTTTTCTGCTGTGGGTTGCCCTCAGGTGGTGAGCACTGGGAGTGGCGGCCATGTAGACATTCTCCAGAGAGCCACAGCTGGTCTGACCTATCGCTCCTTCTGCCCTCCTGATGACCTGGCAGACCGTGGGCTCCTGGATGTGAAGTCTTCTCTCTATGGCCAAGATGCGCTCAGGCTCTGGGGAGTCATCAGCCGGTAAGAGCAACACGGACAGGGAAGACCCAGTGGGCCCTCTGTTGAGAACAAGGGGGACTGCAGATACAGAAGGTCCTAGGCTGGCCATCTGAGACCCAGTGTCTACTTCCCTGGGGAGCAGGTATGTAGAGAAGATGGTCAGTCTTTTCTACAAGAGTGATGGAGCTGTGAAGGATGATCCAGAACTGCAGGCCTGGTGTAGAGAGATCACTGAGACTGGACTGCAGGGGGCCCAGGACCGGGGGTAAGGCCCAGATCCCTCCCCACTGACCTTGTGTCAACTCACACCCATCTGTCAACAATCCATACCTTTTCACAAAACTGTAAGTCACCCTAGGGGGGTTTGGGGGAAAATGGATACATGCATATATACCACTGAATCCCTTTGCTGTTCACCTGAAACTCACAAGTTTGTTAACTGGCTATACCTCAGTGCAAAAAAAAAAAAAAAAAAGAAAGTTTAAAGCCAAAAAAAATTTAAGACACCCTACCTCTAGACTCAGAGCTTCCTCCAGAAATTCTAATTCTAATCACTCCTGATTCCCCAACCCCTTTCCTTTCTCACCCTCTTATACAGCATTCCCTATCCTCATGCAACTTGCTAAGAGCTTCCTCTAGAACCAAATACATTTCCCTTAGTTATTTTCCCTCACCTTTTCCTACCCTCTCTCCCTAATGCCAACGTTCATCCAAGCCCATAAACATGTGAATACACACTATGTGTGTACTAGAGGCACAACCACACACAGGAATTCTTTTCTGTATCCCCAGATATCTTTCACTGCATGAGATCAACTGTCTCCTGTCCTGGTCTCAAAGCCTCAAATTCTTACCTCACACAGGTTCCCCATCTCCTTAGAGTCCCGAGCTCAGCTCTGCCACTTCATCACCATGTGCATCTTCACATGCACTGGTCAGCATGCTTCCACCCACCAGGGCCAGGTAACCTGTTGTGATCCTCGCCCCCTGGGGCTCCTGGGAGGTAGAAGATAGGGGACCAAACGCCTGGGTCATCAGCCTGGGTTTCTGAGAGGCTCTCCTACCTGCAGCTGGACTGGTACTCCTGGATCCCGAATGGTCCATGCACCATGCAGAAGCCCCCGCCCATTTCCAAGGATGTGACAGAGAAGGATATAGTAGACTCGCTGCCCAGTCTGCACCAGGCCCGAACACAGAAGACCTTCATAAAATTCCTTGGCCGACGCCAGCCTGTCATGGTTAGAGATGGATGCCTATGCCCTGGGGGAGAAGGAGCAGTGTTCTTGGCCGAGGGGTCCACAGGCTGAGCCTTTTTGCTCTCCCCTGTCAGGTGGCCTTGGGGCAGCACAAAGAAAGCTATTTCTCTGACCCTGGGCCTCAAGCTGTGCTGAAGCAATTCCAGGAGGAGCTGGCTGCCCTGGACAAGGAGATTGAGGTCCGGAATGCAGGCATGGACCTGCCCTACGAGTATCTTCGACCCAGCATGGTAGAGAACAGTGTGACCATCTGATGCCTTGCACACGTCATTCCCAAACTCTGCCCTCCTTAAGTACCCTTTGAGTACCCCACCCTCCTTGGCCACAGCCTCTGGTGAACAGATTGTCCCCTAAGCAGTGGTCAGTGCTCAGGGATGCTGTATCACCCAACTCTAGGGAATACATAATGAATCATTCCCACTGAATTTTGGAACCCATCCCTACCCACAGCTGCCCTACCTTAATGTCCACCTAGCCCTACACTTCTTTGTCCTTTGTTCCCGTCTCCTCTTTCTCAAAGAATCTAGTTTGTATATAAATGAAATGAAAAGATATATAAAATAAATGAAAAGATCTAATTAAATAATAAAGTTGTTTATGCATGGTGAAGGAAGGAGGTAGGAAAAAAGATCTTAGTTTGTTTCCTGTCCTCTCATTCAGATTCCAAGGAAGAAAAATAAAGACGCTTTCTTGGAACAAAAATTTCTTCCTGTAATTAATGCATCCTTCAAGGGTTTTCTTAAACTTTTTAAACCTAAATTAGGGAAGTTCTGACTGATTGCCCAAAGCATTTAATACCAGCAAAGTTGTATAAGAAATTATAAATCAGGGTTGAGAGCAGCGTGGAAGAAAGGAGAAGGCAAGGAGGGCCTATTGGTAGAACTGAGAAATCACCAGGGAAAATATACATGTGAAATGTCAAGGGGTTACCCTGGATGACCTGTACCTTTGACAGGGGCCAGTAAAATAAATAGGGGCATGTAGGATTTAGAATAGAATCCATTTGAATTCTCCTTCTAGTTGTAGGAAAACACATTTTAAGAAAACAGTCCTTAAAAACAGGAGTTTCATGCCCTGGAAGATTCTTCTTGTTCTTTTCCACCTGCATCTGTACAGAGACACATGTGGAAGAGAACAAAAAAATCTTCTGTATGAAGAGGACTCTCACCAGAAACATACAGATAGGGAGCAGATCAAAATTATACTTCCAATATGAGTTTAGAAAAATGTCATGATTTAATCACAACTGTGAAGGAATATCAAAAAGAAGGGGTAAGAAGGGAACTAGCAGAATTATTAGAGAAATGGAAATCGAAACTACAATGAGGTACCACCTCACACTGGTCAGAATGGCCATCATTAAAAACTCTACAAAAAAACAAATGCTGGAGAGGGTGTGAAGAAAAGTACTCCTATACTGTTAGTGGAATGTAAGTTGATGCAGCCACTATGGAGAACAGTATGGAGGTTCCTCAGAAAACTAACAACAGAATCATCACACGATCCAGCAATCTCACTCCTCAACATATATCCAGGGAAAACTCTAATTCAAAAAAGTACATGTGCACTATTCACAATAGCCAAGACATGGAAACAACTTAAAAGTCCATTAACAGATGAATGGATAAAGATGTGGTACATATACACAGTGGAATACTACTCAGCCATAAAAAATAAAATAATGCCATTTTCAGCAACATAGATGCAACTAGAGATTATCATACTAAGTAAAGTCAGGAAGAGAAAGACAAATATCATATGATATCACTTATATGTGGAATCTAAAATATAACACGAATTAACCCATTGATGAAACAGAAACAGACTCACGGATACAGAGAACAGATTTGTACTTGCCAAAGGGGAGGGTTTTGGGGAAGAGATGTAGCGGGAGGTTGGGGTTAGCAGATGTTAGCTATTATCCATAAAATGGATAAACAACAGGGTCCTACTGTACAGCATGGGGAACTATATTCAATATCCTATGATAAACTATAATGGAAAAGCATATTAAAAAAGAAGGTATGTATGGACCTCCATGGTGGCTCAGTGGTAAAGAATCCACTTGCCAATGCAGGAGACACAGGTTGGGTCTCTGATCCAGGAAGAACCCACACGTTGCAGAGCAGCTCGGTCGGCGCACCGCAGCTACTGAGCCCCTGCTCTAGGGCCTGGGAGTCACAACTACTTAGGCGCTGTGCTGCGACTCCGGAGGCCGCCGTGCCCTAGAGCCAGAGCCCTGCGGCAAGAGCCGTCACACAATTCGGAGCTTGAGCGCCACACTAGAGTAGCCCCCGTTCACCACAGCTAGAGAAAAGCCCGAGTGCAGCAATGAAGACCCAGCACAGCCAAAAATAAATAGATCTCATTGGTAAAAATCATTTTAAAAAAGCAATGTGTACATATAAAACTGAATCACGTTGCTATACAGCAGAAATTAATACAATATTGTAAATCAACTATACTTCAATGAAGAAAACCAATGGAATATGAAAAAAAAAGAGTTAATTAAGAGAGCACGTGTTAGGGGAAGATCAGGAGCACAAAAAAGAAAATAAAAATATTTAAGATATATATATATAAAAAGAAGGGACTAGCAGAATTCTGGGAAGAAACACAAGGCAAAAGAAAAAATACATAGAAGAAATATAAGATAAAATTAGGAAGAGTAAAACAGGGACTAGACATAGAAAGCACAGTACAAAGGTTAGAAATCTAAAAGCTAATAAAACATAATGCAAACCAAAATAAAGATGAAAGGTTCAGAGGGAAAATACACAACGGGTATGAATGACTGAGAGTGAAGAACAGACAGATTAATTGCAATTCCTAAAAAAGAAACAATGAGATAAAACAGTGGAATAGAATACATATGTTAAAATATATATAATGGAAGAAATCTCTCTTGAAATAAAAATCTACATATTGAAAGGGAAAATCAAGTATCAGTGAAAACTGACCTAGAATTGTCAACTCAGAGGTATATCCCTAAAGTTACTGGATTTTAAAGGTGAGTAAACAATCCTGTAGGCAGAAGGGCAAGAAGATCAAGCCACAGTATTCAATGCCAAACATCAGTGGGTCCATCCCTTCAAAATATTCAAGGAAAAAGCTAGCCAAGAATTTTTCCTGTCTCTGAATTCTTTTTTCTTTCGCTCTCTTTTTTTCATTGTGTTAAAATACACATAATATAAAATTTGCCACCTTAACCATTTTAAAGTATAGCAGTTCAGTGGCATTAAATACATTCACACTGTTGTGTAGACATCACCATCATCCACTGCTCTCTTCATCTTATAAAACTGAAACTCTATAGCCATTAAACAATAATTCTATATCCTACCCTTCCCCCAGACCCTGGAAACCACCATTATACTTTCAGTCTACATGATTTTGATTCTTCTAAGTATTTTATATAAGTGGAATTATACAGTATCTATCTTTCTGTGGCTTTGCATGAACCCTGACTTCTCCATTTATTCATCTTGAAACTGATTTTTTTTAAATATGGGGACTTCTCTGGTGGTCCAGTGGTGAATAATCTGTCTGCCAATGCAGGAGACACAGGTTTGATCCCTACTTTGGGAAGACTCCACATGCCACAGGACAACTAAGCCCGTGTATCACAACTACTGAAGCCCACATGCCCTAGAGTTAAAGCTCCACAACAAGAGAAGCCACTGCACTGAGAAGCCCGTGTACTGTAAGGAAGAGTAGCCCCCTCACCACAGCCAGAGAAAGCCCACTCGCAGCAATAGACGTAGTGCAGCAAAAAATTAATTAATTAATTAAAATAAAATTTTAAGATATGGTGTGAAATAATAGTCCAATTCCATTTTTTCCCCACCTGGATAATTAGTTATCCCAGCACTGTTTGTTGAGATCTTTCCCAACTAGGTTATAATGCTGACATAAATCAAGTTGCCCGTGTATGAATGGGACTATTTCTGGCTATTTTATTTCCTTTATCAGTTTGTCTTTCTCTGTTCCACACTAACATAATTACTACGTTTTTATGATGAACATAGCCTATTATTTGAAAATAGATATTCATTTAATTTGTCCTTAAGGGTGCTTTCACTTTTCTTCGACTTCTGGCCTTCCATATAAATATTAGATTCTGTTTGTGAAGTTCCATAAAGAAAACCCATTGTGACTTTGTTGCTGTTGTTGCTCTGGGTCTTATACTGCTGTGCAGAGGCTTTCTCTAATTGAGGTGAGCTGGAGCTACTCTCAAGTTGTGGTGTACAGGCTTCTCATTGCAGTGGCTTCTCTTGTTTCAGAACATGGGCTCTAGGGCTTTCGGGCTTCAGTAGTTATGGCACTTGGGCTTAGTTACCCCTCAGCAAGTGGGATCTTCCCAAACCAGGGATCAAACCCATGTTCACTGCATTGGCAGGCATATTCTTATCCATTGGATCACCAGGAAAGTCCAAACCTGTTGTGATTTTGACTGGCATTGTATTGCATCTACATGACTTTTTTTTTTTTAAAAAACAAAATTCTGCATTTTTATACAACTTGATAAAAAATAGTATTTCAAACTGTACAGTCACCAGAAGTACACAGTTATCAAAAATGCACACACTTCACTTGGCATCTCCAGCACCTTCAGCTTTCTGTGCCTGGTCTGTTTTGGCATCTCCATTTTCTGCAGGGTTATTCCCATCCTTGCCAGCATCAGCTTTCCCCTTTTTCCCTTTGGGTACCTTCTCTCCCTTCTTTGCAGGGGTCTTTTTAGGCTTGGGCTCTGGCTTTGGAGGAGCAGGTTTAGCAGATAACCTTGCAGATCTTCTCTGTGGTTCGTCCTTCACCTTGGCTTTATCTCCTTTAGCATCCCCTGCAGCCTTTCTCTTGGGCATGGTGGTTGCGGCGGCGGGACATAGGCGCTGGACACGGGGATGCAGTGGCGCGCGGGCTTTAAGTCGGTCCAGGGGTCGCTCTTGCCTCTTCTTCACACTGCTCCTACATGACTTTTTAAATCTTAAGCTAACTTTGTACATTTGAGATGTATCTAACCCAGTCATTTTTTATATTGCTGAATTCAATTTGTTAACATTTTGCAATTTTTACCTCTATGTTATTAAGAGAAATGCCTATAATTTTCTTTTCTTAAGTAATCCTTCTCTGATTTTGTCAAGGTTTTAACTGCCCAGTAGAGTTTATTTGGGTAGGGTTTCTCTTTTTGTTGTTGTTGCTATTTTTGGAAACATCTAAGAGTGGAATTATCTTTTCCTAGAATATTTTACACAAC